AACATAAACACTTACCAAATTTGTTAAGACCCTAAAAGTAAAGTCATATAATCAAGTCAAGGACATAAGTTAATTGGTAAGTTTTTGAGTTATAAGCCAAGTCCTTAGGTGTGAAAATATTTTTGTCACCCTCCTGTAGAACTAGAAGAAATTCTGATTACACGTGTCGAAATTATTTAGGTTTGTGTTGAAACTATTATGACTTATGTTCGAATAAGCAGAATAACTGTATGCAATACGAGTTTATTATTTTAAATTTAACTTTTTAAACGAAAATTTCAAACTTTGTTTTAATAGGTTATAAATGTAAAAAACAAAGGTAATGGAGATCGTTATGCTTAATTTTAACCAATCAGGACGATAATTCAATAAAATAAAGTTCGTCCAATTGCTATTGTAGTGCTATTGTATTGTTATTACATGCCGCCACTACTTAAATTACTTTCGTTACTCATTGTTAACAAGGAATTAATTATCTCGTACGTAATCTGTATTCCTTAAAATCTACTATTCGTAAATATTTATGCATATAATTTTTTACGAAAGTTCCTTTGTCCAGGAAATTACGCATTAGATTCAGTCTTGATATTACTCTAACGAACGAATTTAGGTGACTTACAATAATTAATTACCATGATCTAGCCTTAAATCATCGCGCATGCATTAGTGCTGTTATTAAAAATATACTTTTTTTTAGTTCACTCTCCAGAAAAATTAATTTCGATTTGTGTCGTTCGAAAATAAAGAATCATTAAATTATTGTCTTTGTAAATGCTTTATATGCATATTGATTCGCTTTGATGGGTGCTTGATGTTATGCCAACGAGAAAATATATAAAGACCCCATAACATGAAGTTTTTCATCAAACTCATCAATCTGATTATCAACAAAACTACAATAAAATTACTACAAAACTATTACAAGTAATAAACTATGGCATCTTTTATCAAAATTTTTATCACTTTGATTGCCATCATTGCCTTTTTATCGCATTTTACTGTCAGTGAATCATCCGATGTTGTAGATGATTTCTGTGATAAACTATTGAATGAACAAGAACTTGAATGCGTGTTACCTGAATTAAAGCATGAATTAACTTACGTTGAAGGGACCAAAAAACAAGCTACTCAAGAGATAATTGACATTTTCGAAACCAAACCTTTGAGTACTGAATGCACTCCCAAAAAAGTCTTGGTGAGTAATATTATGATTATTTTACATTATCCGCTAACATACTTTAATACTAAAATTTTGTTTGTGATCATATTTATAGTCTATTAATGAATTGCCAGGTTATATTGTTGGTAAACTTACAAAGATATGTGAAACAGTCCAATCTACTACCTCTGGCCCGGTCGGAGTTGCGAACCATGTCAACCCTGAAGCCAAAGTCTCTGCTTAATATTTATATAAAATATCTAAGTTTCTATTCACAATTTTAGAGTTAATTATTCCTTTATACTTTTATAATTTGATTAGTTATAATATTGTAATACTAGCATTAATTATTCATTTAGAAAATTATTCATTCTTTATAAAAGTTGTGATTATCAATCAATAGAGTTATAATAAATAAAGGATATTCGAACATAACGTTCAAACATTCTTTCTAAACATATCGGCTGATTTTATTTAACATTAGAGTGGTTAATGGAGTGTCCAGTCAATAATAAAACATATAACTCACACCATTAGCGACCCTATTTAACATATAGGCTGTTTTATTTATTTATTTATTTATTTTTTGGCCTTTTTTTGTAATAGTTACATCCAACTACACAGGATATAACCGATTTATTTCTGCCATCTATGTAACATAACTTTCATGTACTTATTTTAAAGAGAAGCTTTTATTTTACGCACTGTTTTTGACGTTTAAGATTAAATAGGATAATACTCAATTACCTAAAATTAAATAGATATATATCCAGTAGAAATAAGTATATGAAAGTTATATAGATGGGTTGGCCAGGGGATAATACATAATTTCTTATTGTGCGACTAAAAAGCACCAGCATAACCAACAATCGAGGGGGCAGTCACGTGATGGACCGACCAATTATGTGATCGATAAATAT